GAGGAAGAAGAGGAAGATGAAAAAGAGAGTGAAGAGGAGGAGGAAGAAGAGGAAGATGAAAAAGAGAGTGAAGAGGAGGAGGAAGAAGAGGAAGAGACGGATGAGGGAAAAGAGAGTGAAGAAGAAGAGGGAGATGTAGAGGGTGACAGTGAAGATGAGGAGGAGGATGAAGAAGAAGAGGAGGAGGAAGAGGTCAAAAAAGTCAAAAGTGCAAAATCAACAAGTAAACCTAGGTCAGGGTTCAAAGGTCATGCAGCGGGGGAGGAGGAGGAGTTTTGGGACGATGTTTTACCTCAGTACCTCAACCTGAAATAACACGGAGCTTTAAAATCATCATTATTTTATGATCAATTATTTTGTCAATTCATTTTCATTAGAAATGAAATATGATCCATCCTCCATCTTTAGACCTGGTCCCACAGAGACAATCTGTTTTATATTATTAATCATTAGATAGCACTACGTGTAATATAAGTGTTGTAGAGTTGTGTTTGATCAAATTGCGTTAGTAGTATTTCAAGTATTTCAGAAAGCACAGAAAACCATGGGGAAGTCAGTATTATTCCATGACAGTACTACAAGCCTGCAGCCTCTGACTTCTTTAATAGTTGATTAATTGATTGATTCTTATTCCAAGAAACCAAAGTTAACATATCCAATTTTCTTTTTTTGTCTGAGCAACAGTTACAGAACTTTTGAGTTCGATATCATAGGAAATTTGGATGTTAGAAATATTCACATTTGAGGAGGTATGAAGCAAATTGGATTAAATGCATGAATCTATGAGTTTTCGAGCCGGGACGTGAGGTGAAAAGTCCAACAAGAGCATCACCACCTCCCTGTACTTCCTGCTGCTGCAGTCACTTCCACACACTGTGCCTTTCTTCTCACATTTCTATCTATTTCATCATCTCATTCATTTCTAAAAAATGCTTTTCTACCGAAACTGTAACAGTGGACATTTTGAAAAGTGATGAAATGTGTCTCTGTGTATTTGCGTGTAAATGCTTTGTTTACTTGTCTTTGGAAGCATTTAGGTTTTTTTCTATTTTATTCAGTCCCTAAAACAATGATTCTTCACATGCGGTGCCTTAATCTTTGGCAAAGAAAAACATTGACACATACAGTATATGCCGAACAATCCCTCTTCTTAACTTTTTTTAATAAATGTCTGTTTAATTTGGTTTTATGATGTTTTTGTCTGTTTTTTTATTTTCCAAAATCTAATGGCGATGCAAGGGGTTGAAAATTAGGTGAGAGGTTGTAAGAACACATCACTGAAACACAAATTCAGATTCTGGAGGTTTTATTTTCACTTCTTCCCACTGAAGATTCATCCTTAAAGTTTGTAACATCCTGACAGTGTTGAGGAAAAAATGATCTTATCCCAAGTTCCTCTGGTCTCAACCTTTTATGCCAACATAGTAAATCTACAATATTGAGGTACTTAAAGATAAAACCCACATCCTTTAGCCCCGATACTTCACTGAGAACTCAATCAACAAGTGCAAGAAATTAATGAGACTCGTTTTAAAAACTAAAAAGTACAGTCCAAATAGGAGAGAACTGATCAGGTTTAGGGTTTATTATTTTTATTGCTCCATTAATTTCTTTTTCTATTCTATATTTTATGGAATGGTGGTAATAATAATAATTATAATAATAGAATAGTAAATATCAAAACGTCTGTCCCATGTTCCCAGAGTCCAAGGGGGTGTCTTGTTTTGTCAGACCAACACTTCAGATCCCAGGAATTTTCAGTTTACAACATAAAACTGAAAAGCAGCAAATCCTTATTAGCTTTCATCAGAGATTAATGACGTTTTCATTGGATGCTTGTCCCCTCCATGAATCTGATTTGTTGTGTGTTTGATCGGCCGGTTCCAGAAGGAGGTGGGGCTTGTTTTCTCTTTCCTGTCACGTCATTGTCTCTGTGTTTATAATCCCAACTGTAATCCCTTCCCATCATCCCCTGCTGTAGTCCGGAGCAGCTCAGAGCTGCTTGTCATCATATTTAGATCATATGTAGATCAAGATTTTCTACCCCTCTGCTCCACCCTTGAATATACAATGTAGATAGAGCTGTCCAGCACCTTGTCTCCACTTGTAGAGCTGGAAAATTACAGCAAGCTGTATCATCAGTAGACATGAGAGATAAAAATGCACCAACACCAACGTCCAAAACAAATGAACCTGAGACTAATTTCTTTAAAACATTTTAGAAAGCAGTGAGCTTTGATTCCCGTCCTCATGTCTTCAATTCTCGTTCTTTTTTGTAGGACTTGACGAAACCATTTAAAACGTGGAGCAAAGGTGAGGAGGAGGAAAAAGAGGCAGACGAGGGGAATGTTGAAGATGAAGAGGTAGAAGAGGAAGAGGAGAACGATACGTCGGCCGAGACAGAAGAGCCGTCCTCGCAAAGTTTGGAAGATCTGACGGAGAAATCAGCAGAGGAGACTCAGAGTCCCGTAGGTTCACAGAGTTGAATTCAAATGCATGATACTGATTCATGATTATTGTCGGTGCTAACATGTAAAATCTGATCTTTACAGAAATCGGACAAGCTCAAAGAAGAATCTGTGCCTGATGGAGAGCAGAAAGGTGACGTTTATTCTTATCCTTTGAATTTGGTCTTCGGTTCCGTGGTTTTAGGACATGTATGTAAATCTCCATTAGATAACTGGTTGGGGTTAGGAAATAATTGTTAATAGTTTAAGTTAAGTTTGACCTGCAAAGTTCAAGATGAGAATTGCAACATGGGATCACTGTTATCATCCTTTCGCCTTTTTTGTCTTTTCATTTCTACCTGCCTTTACCTGTAAAGGAAGACACGATCGTCTTGTGATGGACAAAACACCACCACCACCTTATTGTAGCTCAAGTGCATTTACTGTGTTTATCGATAAACGAAGAAAGGACTGAAATGAAAAGGACATGTCCGCGGAGAAGCTTTTGATAAAATGTCTCATCTCATCAGCAGCTCATATCACCGAGGAGCCTGAAACCACTGGTGAAGAGCAGACAGGCGACAGCACCAGACCAGCCAATGGGACAGCAGACGGCAACTCAAAGAGCCAATCAGGCTCCAACAAGAAGGTAGAAACAAGATGTCGGCCTGTTTTACGTGTCAGCTCACGTAACACATACATCACCTGTAGTGCTGGACAACGTAAATGTTGCATTACAAAATAACGATTGGTGAAACATGCGCAAAGTTTTCTTTCAAAGAGCGGATTCTTGTTGGGGGATCAAAGGAGAAGCTGTGTGTCTTATAAGAGCAGATGCTGTGGAGGGAGCCATCTTTCCCTTTCAAAGAAAAACACACACACAAACACAGAGTCCAAAAAAAGCTTTGACTCTGTGAGCTAATCACACTTTGCAAAATAAATCTTATTTTTACATTTCAAGTGGCTTCAAAACACTGCTCCTGTCTGAGGAGAGTTTTCTCTGTGTAGGTTTAATTTCCATTTTTGGACATTTTAACAGAAAGCAGCTCCCACACTTAACTAAAACTTCGATCATACATTTTCAGATTTGACATCTCTACAGGCTCCAGATTACTCTTTAAAATCAACTTCTTTCAGATAAGAAGCTGGTGACTCATCCTGTCTTTAGGTTTAAGACTCTATATTTTATACGCCGTACATCTTACCTTCTTTAATGACTTAACATCTTCAACTGCAGCTAATTATGTTGGTTCATGGGAGGCTTGATTCAGCTAAACTCAGTTTACAGCCTCTCATGCAATTTTTGTACGGCTGAAGTGACCTTTGCCCTTTGAAACTACACTGTTTACAGCAGCGTACACATTTTTCAGGGATTAACTTCCTCTCTCGTCCTGTAAGCTCTCCATCTTCAGACGCCTGTCCTTCTCCAGATCGAAGCAGGACCAAACCCCAGCAGAGGGCACTGTCAGCGGGGACACTGCAGAGCCTCCGTCCCCCGCCACCGCCGGGAGCAGCAACCCCGGAATAAACAGAAGTGGAGCACAGCAGAAATCTCCGTCCTCTGGCTCCAGAGGGCCTCGCTCTGGTGCCTGCACAGTACTGTGATCCCTGGATCTAAACTCCCAGGCGGCCGCAATTATCTTGTCAGACCAAAGTGCGAGAGGTTCGTGAGCAGCAGTGAACAAAGGATTCATAAGACACAGTGGGTGGTGCATAGTATCATCCAGCTCCCCCGGGGGTGTTCGAACTCTGCTGGGACGTGTGGATGTGAATACACTCAGTACGTCAGCCGGAAACAGTGGAGCCACACCACAGATTCCCAAAAATAAGAAGCTGCTGTCAGAGTCTCCGTTTGTCAGGAAGTTTGAGATTCAAGAGCAAATTTTAAGCCCTCTGAAAAATCGTATTTTTTTAAAATCTCTAACTTGGCTGCAGTGATTGTAGATGTGTTCTCCAGAGTGTTGTTACCCTGTGACACCACTGTGAGGCGCTGGATTCACAGAAGTAACAGTGGACGACTACTGATACAGCAAAATCAATGATGCAAACCTCAGGGCTGCGACTATTGATGATGTACATGATTAATTGATTTGCTCATTAACATTCTGTCGATTGGTCTATTAAATCTATTAAATAACCAATAGTTTAAGCTCTATAAAGTTTAGTTTCATTGTAACTGCTGTGAATCCAAGTAACTTTCTTCATACTCCATACATGAAGCATGAAGTCAAATCTAAACCGTCGTCTACACAAAAACAAAAACTGTCAGGTTTAGATGTGATTAGATTTGTGCTTGTATTAGCAACCACCAGCACGCCCATCTCTACAAGTGCAGCTTTAAAACCACTAAACTTTTAACCACTGTCTGTTCACAAGTGACCTACAGCTGAGCCTCCTCCACCAGTACGACCAGTACCACCACACTGCTGCTGGGAGGAGCTTAGCTTTCAGTTTTCTTCATTTGCTCTTGTGTGGTAAGTTTCCTACGCAGCAGCTGAACCTCAAACTGTGTCTCTGAGTTTTAAACTGTGAGGATGTAAGTATTGTTATTTATTGCGAAATGGTCGTGGAGCACATTTGCACTTTTGACGTGACGCATTTTCAAGAGTTTTATATTCTGATGTGATGATCTCATTTACCATTTGGGGATTTTTGTGATATCAGTAAAGCATTTTCATATAAAGCTGAACATGAGTAGTTATTTCTTTTGTTGTGAAATTAGTAATGAGTATTTTGCTTCTGTTAAAATATGATTATTGAATCTCAGTGGCAAGAAATATTGTAAAAAGTGTAAAAATGTAAACAAAAATATGCGTGAGGTATATATATCCAGCAGGACTTTATAAAATACTAGAACAACATTCTGTGGTCATCATCAGGAAGTTTGTGGAATATCATGGAGTCATCCTTAGTCAGAAAACATTTTGCTTTATATTTTATTTTGAGGGGTTTTCATCACAATACGAAGAAGTAAGGTCAACTAGGAAAATAAATATCATCTACACTGTAAAAAAAGGAATAACTGGACTGAAGAAACATGCCTCATGTTCAAAATGCTTAGTTCAGTCCCAGTCCAGCTTCAGTGAATATCTCGAATTTGAAATTGGAAAGGAAAGTGCAGGCCATCCAATCACAACAAATGCATTTGAAAAAAGTTCAAGGGGACATAAGCATTTTCCATTTTTGCATAAAGTTCCTTCACTTTCTTTCTGAGTCACTTTCTTTTCTCCTTCTCGTTCCTCTACTCCTCCACGACGCTGAGCGCGGCGCTGCTCTTGGCCTTGCCCATGGTGAACTTGACCGTCCCGCTCATGTCCGCGCTGGTGTTCCTCAGGGTGAGTTTGTGAACCGTCCCGTGGTTTTCCAGCCGGACGCCGGGGCCCGGGTGGAGGGGTGCCCCGTTCAGAGTCCAAATGGGGGGCTTGTTTATGGCCACAGACACCTCGCACTGGAAAGACGCCGGCTCAGGTTCAGTCACCTCCACGTCCTCCAGCTCTTTGACCATCACGAGTGCCTGAGCTGCAGCGGCATGGAGGGAAACAACTGTTAACCATTGTGTGAGGGAACATCGTCAGAAAAGCATTTTATACAAACCATGAACGTAAAGGAGACACTTGATGCTTTGTTTATTTCCTCTCGTGTGTTAAATTGCTTTTTCAAGATGTAAAGTCTGTTAAAGGTTCTACCCTGTAAGATCTTTCCTGACAAGATAGAAACCAGATGTTGAATCCAGCTGTTCCTTTCACAACAGTTCAGATGACTCACATTTGTTCTGGAACTGTTCTCAAACAGAAAAAAGTTTTGGTGGGTCATGCTTGTCTCATCCAATCGTTCTTCATTGCAGATTTTTCTCTTTTGCTTTAAGGGTGTATTTGATTTTAAATTTGAAAGTGAAGGTCGATTATTTTCTTTCTAATGGGTAAATGCAGATGACACCACAGGAGTAGCATGTTATATGTTTTCTCAGCTACTTGCTCTACTTATTTCACATTTGCACATGATCCCTCATCCGGGCCGGTCTCACCTTCCACCATCAGTTTGGCTTCGGAAGTGTGCTCCCCGACCTGGATGCTGTAGGTGCCCTCGTCCTCCACGACCACCTGCTGGATCACCAGCTTGTGGTAGCAGCCGTCCGCCACGACCTCCACCCGGCCCCCGGACACCAGCTCCTCCCGGCCCCTGAACCAGGAGACCCCGCAGCGGGGCGACGACAAGGTGCAGTCCAAGATCACGCGATGTTTCTCCAGCGCCGTGCGATCTCGCAGGGGTTTGACGATGGACACCGGAAGTTCTGCAGACACATAACGGGGGCAGACATTTGTTTTTTTGTTTTTTTTAAATTTACATTTGTATTAACTTGCTAACAACTATAATAACATAAATGAAACACATCTTGCCTTCCACTTCAAGATAAGCTGTGGATTCAACGTCTCTGGCTGCGAACCGGATTTCACCCGCATCTTCAGCTGTGACGTTGCACATCAACAGGAAGTGTTTGGTCCCTGACGGAGGAAAAATAACAACAGCTCTGTAGAAGGTAAATCAAAGTTTCCTCTTTTGTCTTTTAATTTAATTTGTCACCTTTTAACAAGCTCTTTATCTTTTTTAAGTTTGCCACGAGGCCCCGCAGTCCCCTGTCTGACCACTAGAGGTCCTCCTAGAGATTCGTTTTTTTACTTTTTACTTACAAACTTTATTGGTTTGAACAAAGTGGAACAACA